GTAACAAAGCAACGCTCACACGTAGCTGCCTCAAAGTATCCTCTCTAAAATATCCTGGAGAGAACTTGATCTTACACCTTGTCTTGGAAATACATCTCTTCTAGTTTATATTTATCCAGGATTGTTGTTGCTGTTCCCTTGTGGGACATAACCCTGTCTTTCATTGTATTGCAAGTAAGAAGTCATGTGCAGAGCTAGCAGGATACTTTATTTTGTCTTAACTCCTTTTATAAAGTTAAAGTGAGAGAACCTCAAACAGCCATTTGTATTGGATTGGGCAGAAGAATGCAGTGCTCAGGGTTAATTAGCTATCCAGATATCCTCTAGCTTTTATAGCTGTCATTTCTTAGAATGAAAAGGAATATAATGATATATTCTAAAGATTATGAAGGAAGACTGGTATGTACCAGGGATATTACTTTAACTGAAAAAAAAAAAAATCAGAAAAATGTCCTAGTTTCTGTGTAGTTCCAAAGCTCAGTATATGGAACAAAACATCCAGGGGAATTAATTACCTTTTTGTTGAGGTTTTTTGTGAGCTTTTTAAATCCCAAGGAAATCTATGTGCAGGAGGTTATCACTTATCTATACACAGAACTACATAAAGTATCATTAGAGACCCCTCCAAATACATTGATTTTTTTATCCAGCAGCTGTGTATCAATATTTTAACCACTGACAACAAGATGTAGCCTTCATTATGAAGTATTTTCCTGTGTATCAGGGAAAATAAACAGTTGCCTCCTCACATCTTCTGCCTATACTGAAAGGAAACTCCTTGCATTGCCCTGGCAGAAGAGAATTGGTAAGAAATTTAATGTATTATTCCCTCCTCCCACCAGCAGCTGCCTTATCTACCCCCACTTTACATTATCTGAGCTTTTTTTCTTTTTTTTAACCCCATAATGGGAAGACTCCTAGGCCAGGACTGTGCTTATTTCCAGCCTAGCATTTATTCGTGGCTGGGTTATACCCATTTGTCCCTCTGCCAACATCATAATTCAATTAAATAGCTTTTCTACCTGGCATTTATCTCATAGCAACCATCTTCCAGCCCAGGTAGCATTTAGCTAGACTTAACAAACAAAGGTTTTTGGGGGCATGTCTCCAAGGGGGTGAGAATTGCCACCCATATGCTGGGCCCCCCCTAACTGGATCCCAGTGAGCTAGTACATTCAAGCACTGGGCTGCTCCACATTGGGCACAGAATGAGCTCCCATCCCAGAAGATCTTGTGGCCAAAACATTTTATAGTATACCTTGAACTAAAAAGTCATTAAGGTTTTGTTGTTTTTTTTTTCCTCCACCTCCTATCTGGTTGATTTATTCTGAGGATTCTTTTTAATGTAGCTGTTCAGCCAGTCAGATGTAAAGTCTGCTCCTACAAGTCTCTTGGCATACAACTGGCTGATAATATTAGCACTGTTGACTTAAAAATGAGGTTAGACACAGTTTGCACTGAAAGCCCCAAGATCTTCCACTAATTTGTTCAATTAATTTGTCCTTTTGAAAAAGCTTTATTAATTATAAAATTATTTTTGTTTATACTTCCACTTTTGTTAAACTAATGTGTTTTGTTCAGCCCAAGGTAATTTTGCTCTTAACTGTTCTTCTAGAATACCATAAATTACTTAAAAACACCAAAGCTAAACCAGTTCCACTGCTTGCCAGTTTTGTGTTTCTCCACTGAGTGCAGAAATCTACCATCTTCCAATACAGAGATTATCTGAGCTCTGCATGATTAGTAGTATTTTTTGCGATACATATCTAGAGAGTTTAAAGTACTTATGAACGATACAACTCCACAGCAACATTTATATCCCAAGTAGTACTGCAGAGTTTCTACCACAACTGGTTTAGACCTGAAAAATCTAAAAGAAATTGCCCAAAGTACCTCAGGAGAACTTCTTTCATGATCATACTCAAAAGCAAGCTAGACCTAAAGATTCAGGCTTACCCAACCTGGCCCTCCTTGTACCTGTGCAGTCCTTTTCATCAGGAACACAAAGCGTTAGCCACTGTGGCATCTTTTTTTTCCAATAGCTCTTTCTCTTCTGAACAGCTCTTTCTTCTCCACACCTGTGCCCCAGTCATAATTGCTATTCCACAGTGGTTTTCTTACCCTACATCATTTGGTTTCACGGCTTGTGGAAGAAATATATGTTCTTCCATTTTACTGCCCAGGTCCCAGTCATTATTATACGAGAAATCCCTCTGGCTCATCACACCTTGTTCACAACCTGGATTAGGAGCACTCCTTTCATTACATGGCAAATAACAACACGGTGGTATTTTGCTTTCCTGAAAGCCATTAATCCATTAATCTGAGCTACTTAGGGGCATTAGAAATGGAAAAGCAGCTCAGTTCTCTTCTGAATGTGCTGCAAACTTTGGCTTTTTAAACCTCTCAGCCTGTGGCTGTCCTGGAAGCACAGTGGTGACACGGGAGTTACCGTACAGTGCAGCAGCCAAAACGACAAAGGTAAGCATTGCATATCCACTATGCACTGCATGTCATGTGTGACATTGTCACCCATGAATGAGGCCAGCTGTGTCATCAGCAGAGTGTTCCCACGGGTATAATTGTAGCTCCATCTAGGCTTGCATCTTCTCATGCCCCCGAGCAATGTGCCTGGGGTGGTGGGCTCACCAAAAGCTGTGATGGGATGCAGTGTACTTCAAAACCTCCAGAAGAAGCAGAGGATGATCCTAAAAGTCCATAGTGATGAGGAATAAGATACATCTAAAGGACTTGGATAGGGTGAAGGGACAATCATGCTGGCTCAGTGCAGCTGCATCCAGGTGGGTAGAAACCTCAGCTGGGAAGGGAAAGGGTAGGCTGGGGCTTGGCTGTGCAGTGTCCTCCTTCCCACCATTTCTGTGAGGTGGGGTTCAGCCTTGGCTGAAGATGATGCCAAGGAGCTGATGTTTTGGCTCCCTCCCAGAGATGGTGGGCAGGAGAAGTCTTCTCCAGGCTCCCCTCTGAAGGTGCCTGAGCTACCTCTCAAACATGACCTCCCAGCTGACTTGCTAGACCCCCTGGCAGTTTAGGGGGCACCACAGCCTAGAGCTGGAGATTTACAGTTTTAAGATAGGGCAAGTTAAGGTATAAACCCAGCTTTGAGCTGGACTTACATGTGATGTGAAAGTCGATCATTTGTTCCCAGGCCATTGACTTTCTTCTGGCATGGATTAACCACATGAGGTTTTTTCTTTTTCGCTTATCTATCCACTTTCTCAAGGGGATGGTGGGTTTCTGTTTGAGATCAATAGGCACAGTCCATTTGGCAGAGATCACAAGACCCCAATGCAAAACCAGCAACGAGACTTTCCACCCATCTATTTGGTTTTTCAAAAGCTTTTCAAGAGACTATTCTTACCCTTAAAAGTGACCCAAAGAGGACAAGGATCAAGGCTTATTTTTACTGGGGATGGAGAGCCCTACAGAAATCCCACTTAATAAATAAACTGTATTAACTTGTTTCCCAGTATGATGAGTCAAGAACGTTTAGTGCCCACTAAATTCAGATTTCAAGGCTATGTAAAAATGTGCAAAGGAGAATCCTGGGAAAACAATCACTGCTGTGACGAGTTCCTAGATGGGAAAGCACCTATTTAATCACATGCTCTTTCAACATCTCTGAATCAAGTAAGGTAGGACCCAACACAGGTTTGTACAACTATGTCATGAACTTGCCTGTTCATGTCAAACTAAAGTAGACTGTGTTTATTACCAAATAATCTGCAACTGAGTTGTCTCTGAAGGTCAGAGCAAAGGCCAGGCAAAGGTGAAATGAGATACAAATGCTGCTGAGCTCAGTCAGATGGTGACTCTCTGAATGTATCTCCTATCACCATGTGGACTGTGTCAACTTATCAGTCAACCCAGCATCAATCACAGTAACATCCTCAGAGACACGAGGTATTTAATGTGATAAATATTTATAACACTCAGTTACTTACACCCAGTGCAGTCAGTTAAGTCCCATTTGAAGACAGAAGCTCTGCCAACAGGAAGGGAATTGCTCATTTTAGAGTCCTGGATGAAGCCCTAAAGATGCTGCAGTACACATCTGTGCAAACCATAAAGCCTCCTGCCCTAATGTTATGGCCACTAACAAACACCAGCCAAGTAGCCCAGCTGTCATAATCTTCTCTCAGCACATCCATACCTCTAGGATGCTATTCCTTTCCTGCACCATCCCTACAGGACAACCATCACAAAAGCTGTTTTCCCTTTGCTTGTGTCTTTTTGGCAGCAGAAGGGTGGGTGCTGCTTTTATTCATGAGCCATGAGCTGGTGTTTTGGAAATGGTGGTACTTTAACTGCTTACAGTTGTGGAACAACAGCATTTCTCTTACAAAACGCCTGGCCACAAGCCAGCAAATAAGGTGGACTTCTGAATCCTTTGTAGGGGAAAAATTCCTGCCTGTGGTAGAAGCTGCTCCTGGCCCACCACAGACAGAAGCAGGTAGTACTTGCTCTTCACAATACGTACATACAGAAAGATATTTTAAACAAAATCTTAAATTCTGTCAAAGTTAATTCAGCTGCCAGAAAAGATCTTGTCATACAATATGTGAATAACCTTTTCACTTCTCTTTGCCTTTTGTAAACCAACTCTGACACCTGCTTTGGGGTTTACCTTTTCATTATAACTTGGTTTGGTGTAGGAGCCCAGGAGCATTACTCAAAAAGAAGCTGGTTATTACTTACTGTTACAACAGAAAAACTAGCTGAAATGCCTGGCAACATATATATTAAATAATTTGAACCTTAGACAGTTCAGCCAGGTATTTATCTATCACATGAACTATGTTTTTCAGATTAGCATACTTTGCTACCTTTGCCTTCCACTCCTCCTCCTCCCTGACAGAAGGACAGCCCCTAAATCATATGATTGGACACAAAAGATTGCACACTGCAAAACGCTCCTATTTACCACAGACTTGGGACAACACATCAAGACAGAACTCAAAGCCAACCAGAGAAGAACCAAAATGAGCCTTCTTCCCTTCTTCTCTACAGAGACCTGGGCCCTTTTGCTTATTTTCCTAGCCCTCCTGATAGCGTGAGTAAAATATTCTTTATTGGTTCTTTGCTCATGTCACTTTCCTCTTCTTGCTGTTGTTCATTTTCATGCAACTAGTCTGCCAAAGAGCAAACAGGTAGGTGTGATTTCCAGATTTAAAGCCTCTAATGAGACTTTGGGAAGTAGCAAAGGAGTCTGAAGACAGTACAGATGCGTGTTCTTGCTCCAAGGTTTGGAGTGTTCCCATGCACCATTACTATCTTGCTGCTAAGCATTAAAGAAATAATCAAATAGTAATTCATTACCACCAGAATGCTAGCTTCAGTGAGAATCATGATCTGTTAGGTTATTTTCCACTGAAATACAGTCTAAGGATGGCTGTGCCTCCCTGGCTGAGGTTGCCCTATGGAGGGGAGCAGGCAGTAGATGACCCTACTGTATGACCTGCAAAGCTGAAGAGCAGCAGAAAGATGCCAGGAAAAGGGTATTCATAGGATCAGTCCTTATTCTTCCTGACTCCTACTGTAGTGCCCAGGTAAGATGCTCCACACACGGGCACCTGGACCAGGAGGGATACTTTGCAGGTGTTAGATGTGCCACACCTGTAGGGACAGCATCCCATGCCTGTTCCCACAGCCCACTCTTGTCAGGGGAAGAAATGAAGCCCAGAACAAGGTCAGCTTTCTGCTTCTGGCTTTTCAGACAAATTCCATCAGACAGAAGCGTACCCTGCTGCTTCAGAGGAGCCGTGTCAGTGAGAGAATGCTTTCATCCGCTCTGCTGATGCCATTCAGTGCTGCAGCATAGCAGGGCTGGCTGAAAACCCTCTTCTGCTGGGACACACAGCATCTCTGCTGGCAGCCCCCACCAACGAGGCTGGACTGACAAACTTTGTAGTGTTGACAGGCCCTTAGGCAGAGACAGCATGTTGCTAGCCATAAACCTTAATGATTAATGTGGTGCACATGAGCACAATCCATTTTTCTGCCCTGGCAATGCTTCAACCACAGCAGTTCAGTAAGCTCTGAAACTTTTAGCCCTGGTTTTTTGAACCCTTTCCTGTTATTTGAATCACTCAAAAGCCTGTTTGGGGCAGACTCTTAAAAAAACCCAACAACAAAACAAACCCCACCCTCATTATTGACCTAAACCCTCATATTTCAATAACTCTGTGTACATCTGAAGTAGCTGGTTACCACACTCCCACCTTCTGCAGCCACTTGCAAGTTTGTTGTGACAAAAGGGATGAAGCCCAGAACTTTGTGCTCTGATATCTGAATTAAAATAGAAATTTCACTGCCCATTAGCACTGAGAGGTTGTTCAGATGCTTCTCGTCCATCTGGGGCAACGCTGTTCCAATTCACACATGAAGGGATATCAGGCATTTCTGGTTCATTTCCATGATGAGAAGAAGTAATGATTATTCTCTGGCTTCATACTGAATGGTCCTTCTCAGCCTGAAGAAAACCGTGTCATGCTTTAGTTGTAAGAGCATTAGACTGTGTTTTCCTGGCCACATTTCAAATGGATTAAGCCTAGCCTATGTTTCTACAGTGTTTCTGGGCTTTGTAACCAGCCCCACCTGTCATTTCCTGGTCCACCTGCAGCCCTGACTACCCATAAACATTACAAATGAGAATCCACAAACATTTTATACCTAGTACTCAATTAACCTTTAAAAGAAAAGGTTAAATATTGACAAACTGAACTCTGTGAAACCTTTCTGCACCTGCAAACATCCTGTTCCCCGATTTTTGCCTGCTTGATTTGTACCACAAGATGAGGTTTGGTTTTGTGCTTTGGCAGAACCTGTGCTGGGGGGAATGATCTCATTTGGGGTCCCCCAGATTTAGAAAAATATTACTAATTACAAGGGAAACTCTCCTAAATCTCAGCCTAGACTGTGGCTTTTCAGGAACACATCCCCAGGATGCTGGCTGAGAGGCTGCTGCCATGTGGCCTCGAGAGGATCTTTGATAACATCCCTTTGCCAAACCTTTGCATTTTAACATCCCTTCTGCAGTGAACTGCTCACTTGGGAAGCTGCAGCTACTAACTAAAAACAAATATTTTGAGGAGTTCTTTCAACACAGCCAAAGACAAGCTTCAAAGGGCTGCAGCCCAGGCCCTTGTTGAGAAACAGAAAGCCCCAAGGTAGAAGTAATAACTTTATAGCTGCCAAAAAGGTTGCTTCCGAGGAAAGAAATCTGCAAAGCTGTCAATAAAATCTAAAGAGAAAACCATCAAGGCAAGACTTCCTGATGCACCACTGAGCTAACACCAGGCTAAGCGGAGGGAGAACAGTAAATGAAATTAAAGTGCAGCTCAACAAAAGCCCTGTTTGGGACATCACTTCTGGCATTGCTTTGATTTCTCTTCAATAAAAACAAGTAAGCTTGGTGTTCATTCTTCCAGCTCCCTTTTCTCTTTCTCCTTTGGTTGGCAATGAGGTCCTCTTGACTTTTGCTAAAGGCTTTAAGGTCCTGGATCCACCAAAGCACCTATGCCTTTAGGAGAGGGTTGTTTCTACACTAAAGTGAGCTCTCTGAAGTTCTGTGTGGTGGCAGTGAGCTTTGCCATATTTATTAAGTAGTTTTTACAGGGTGATTTTCTTTTGGGCCACTTTTTTCCAGCTCCCAGACCAACCATCTCTCCTACTTAGAGCCAAAGGGACATTGGTGCAGTCTCCAGGATTAGGAGAGCTCACAGCCCCAATGCCATGGTGATGTAGCACTTGGTTGTCTTTTCTGTCACACAGATATGGAATCTGGCCATATGGTTTGTTCAAGAAGTTGGGTATTCCCGGGCCAAGACCTCTGCCTTTCTTTGGGACATGCCTGGAATATCGCAAAGTAAGTGACTGAAGTCTCCCTGGCTTCAGAAATATCCACCTATGCTGATACAGCTGTAGCTAAACAGATACACAGTGGTGATAAGTTATCTCCAAATGCCAAGCTCTGCTCCAACACACAGGATGTGCAAAGACTGGTGTAGGATAAGGGCTCAGTAATACAGGCCATGGGACCCTGCCTTTACAGCAACTCCAAATGAGCACTCATGGGTGGCTGGTTTACAGCTGTCCTTTGTCCTGGCAAAGAGCTCATTCACAAGCATGATATACATTTACACTGTCCTTCGTGGTATTTTCAGAGAGGAGAGCAGCTCAGAAGGCAGGTCTGAACATCAGTTTACAGATATTCATTCCTCCCAACACACTATCTCCAACATCATCCCCTCCATTGCATCCTCTCTGAGATAACTTTTAAATTGCTTTCCACAGGGTTTCTTGGAGTTTGACAATGAATGTTTCGAGAAATATGGGAAAGTCTGGGGGTGAGTATGAACCAGTGATCTCTTCTTAAGGTAAAACCAGAATCCATACAAAGGGGGAAAAGAAAGTCATTAGCAAAAGTCCCTTTTCTCTGCCTGTAGCCCTGACCATCCCAGCAGGACAAGTACAGCATTAATAGGGTTCTTGTGGTGCTTACATTAAAGCCTGACAATTGCAGGGCTGTGCCACTGTCATGCTATATGGAAATTGTTTTGACCTATGCTATGAAAGCTCTTCTAAAGCTGATAACAAAAGGCCCTCACCTGCTCCTAACAAAATCAGCAAGAAAACTATTATCTACTGAAAGGAGAACCTGGAACCAGGAGGTCAGGTTCCCCTGGTTTACCAACCACAGAGGAATGTGAGCAACTCCCAATGCTGAGAAGAAGAAGCAGATCTAAAGTCTGCTGACTTCCTTGTGCTGCTGGTCCTTACCTGCTGCAGTGGGAGCTAGTGCAGCTCTCATTGCTCTGCTCTGGACATCTCCTATGACTTTTATTGCTGCTCTTATAACTTGGGCTACAAACTTGCACACATCCTCTATAATGCATCCATTGGGCCCTATAGCAACTTTTAAAAAACAGAGTCTGCAAAAGATAGCTTTACATAAATGAGGAAAGTGCTTAAATCACTTAATCTACATCTGTTCCAGGAAAACATTCAGAACTGGCAGCTTAAAAAGACAAAAACAAGGACTGAGTTTCATCTCCAAGGGTATTTCAGTGCTGTCAGCCCAAGTCTCCAGACACTCAATTCAAGAGCCTGAAAGGGGTCGAACAAGTTTCCTTCTAATACTGTAATGTGTTTAAGTGCCTGGAAAAACGCAGAGAGTCAGGGGAGAAAGTGAAGACACTTGCTTCATTTAGTATCTGCTCCTTTGAGGGTCTGAGCCCTGCTCATTTCCCAGTGAGTTTGAAAGGTGTTTAGCCTCCTTTATTGTCTACAAAACCAGGTGGGAGAAGGAATGGGAGTCCTTTTCCATCTCTGATTTCTACATTTCTGTACTTAGGCACCTGCAGAACAGCAAGGGCTGGTGATGGAAGAGCATTTGTTTAACATGTTTTGTTTCATGAGCATCAGCCAAACCCTTGCACTTCAACTACGTGGGGTTGTTTATCTGTCTCCTCTTCTCATCCCACCAGGATTTACGATGGCAGACAACCTGTGCTGGGTATCATGGACCCCCAAATCATTAAATCTGTGCTGGTTAAAGACTGTTACTCCACCTTTACCAATCGGAGGGTAAGAACAGAAGCATCGTGATGTACCACAGAGTCCAGAAAACAAAGTAGAGGAGGAGACAAGCATGGCAAGCATGTAGCAGGGTTCCCATAGGAGACAAGTGACTGCGCTATAGGGACTACTGTAAATGGCCACTGCATGTCACTGTTCCCCTGCCTTACAGCCTGGGGACTGCAGAGCCAGGCTGGCAGAGAAAGCTCTTTGCCTACATGAATTTGAGTCGGTGTGAGCATGTAGGACTCTGTAAGGGTCCAGCTAGCCCAAGTGTCACCAGCTGGGCTGCAGGCTCTGGGCAGCATGGTTAGATGTGGGTACACATGTACATATGGGTGTTGGGCTTGTTGGGTTATACTTGTTCTGGATATGGAAATAGCATCTCGCAGCTGATTTACTGCAGGAAAGGGGATTATTTATGTATGTGCATCTTGAAAGAGGCTCTTTGTAATGCCTCTGGAATAGACTGGGCAGGGTTAGATGCTACATTCCCATCCTTGTAAGGAAGCTGCTATCTTTTCTTGGGTTAACACCTTGCCTTTTTCCCCTCCAGCACATAGAACTAGCAGGAGTGCTGAACAACGCTGTCTCATTAGCTGAAGATGAACAGTGGAAAAGGATTCGTACTGTGCTCTCTCCAACCTTCACCAGTGGGAAACTAAAGGAGGTAAAACACAGAGGAGCAGGAGCAAACTAAATCAGAAAGTCAGTAGACAGTGATTCCAGGCTGAGATGGTCACAGGGGTCTGATTTCTTTAGTCAGAGCCTGGCAACTAAGCTGGCCTGTTTAATTTATGTCTAATTTAAAACAAAAAAAAGGCTTAAAATAAAATCGTAGCAGAAAGATCTTATTTGTAAATATTCATGAAACTCCCTATAGTCTTCATAAGCCTGTCTTAAAGGAGTAAAATGTACTGTACTTAAGTGACCATCTCTGTTTTGTGTTACAGATGTTCCCTATAATGAAGCACTATGGGCAAGTTTTGGTGAAAAATGTTCAAAAAAGAGTGGAAAAGGACAACACTATATCTATAAAGGAGTAAGTAGCTGCCAGGAGCAGCAGGCTAAGCAGCCAACCTTGTTAGCAAGTGCTGCGGTTCATTCATTACTGGCAACACAGATCACTTGCTGGGTAAACCAGACCTCTGAAATGAGGAACAGGGCTAGCTGAAAGCCTGGCTGGAAATTTGAAAGGAAAAATTTAAGCTGGGATCTTAGTGAAACTTCCTAGAGGCAGAGACCCACAGAGAAGCCTTCTAAGGGAATTGAGGGGAAGAAAAAAAAAAAAAAAAAAAGCACTCCAGCCCAGCTTTGTGAATCCACAGATCCAAGACAACCTCATATCCACCAGGAAAACCCAGTTTTCCCCACATATACTCAGGATCTCCATGTACCACTTTCTTACACCACAGGCTGCTGGGGTTGCTGGCCCCCCAGCCCCACATGCAGCACTGTGGGATGCTCGTCCATCACTTGCCCCTGTTGCTATGGGGACTGGGGAGGGAGGCTGTAACATGGCCCTGAGTTTATTGTCCTCATCTGTACCCTCCATATGGGCTCTGAAACCTGTGTATTTCACTCCCAATTTCAAAGCAGAGATGCAGAAAGGGCAGCTGCACACCAGTAGTCACACACCAGCAAAGCTCTCCCCTGCTAAAAACCCCATAAGGAGAAGGTTTGCAGTTTGTGCCATTATAGATACCTGTGCTGGGTTGAAGATGACCATTTTCATGGCATGTTTGAAGCAGGGTGTGTTACCACCCCTCCCCAAGAAGCCAAAATTCTCAAGAGCCTCCTGCTGTCCTTGCACTAACCTGCTCATGTAGCTACATGCTGTTTTAAAATCCTCAGAAAAGCTGTTCGATGTCAAAGCCCATACAGACTTGAAACCAAGGCTCTCTAAAAATCTATCCCTTTCACTATAAGTGCTTTTCAGTTACTGTATATCCAATTTCCTTTTCAAAACCAGGGCAGGAGGTCTTATGAGAATTTATATTTGAATGTCACATAGGCATTAGGAAAAAATATGTTCACTTGGTCCAAATATTTAACCACAGTCTATCTTTTCCATCTTTTCTCAGCATCTTTGGAAGCTACAGCATGGATGTTGTCACCAGCACTTCATTTGGTGTGAACATCGACTCCATGAACAACCCCAAAGACCCCTTTGTCAGAGAGATGCAGAAACTGGTCAAGTTTGACTTTTTTGACCCGATCTTCATCTTGGCATGTAAATAGCTTTTTTTTAAAAAAACAACCTTCATTCAGGTGTCAGAATACTACTAAAGCATGACTTTAACAGGCATATCAGAGACCGGTGCATCCAATACATTAATCCACCAACTATTGCTTAAAAAACTTCACTAGCTAGGATGGAAGTCCCCATGGCTCTTGTCTCATCATCCTTCATTGTTAGCTTCAGGCTAAAACCCTGGAAGGAGATGGGTAAAAACTTCCTCCACCTTTGACATCCACATTGAAAGAAACATGAAGATCCCAGCCAAAATCCAAATAAGTCTTGGGAAGTGATTCTAGGCTTGAAAAGCGAGTTCAGCTGCAAGATTTGAGGAAATCAAGTTGATTTTCACCATCCCTGGAGGTTTTTCACCATCCCTGGAGGTTTTTAAAAAGAGATTGGACGTGGCCCTTAGTGCCATGATATAGTAATTGGAGTTGGATCAGGGGTTGGACTTGATGATCTTGGAGGTCTTTTCCAACCCAATCTATTCTATGATTCTATGAAAGTGGTACTATCTGAAATGCATTTTCTGGAGGAGAGTGTTGAGTGGGGACTGTAATTAGATGCAATTTTCTAGCAGTGCAATAGCTTAGCAGTGATGGTGATAGACCTTAAGTCACTTGCCACCTTAAATCAAGATTAAATGCCTTGCTAAAACACAGGGAAAGTTGTCATCTGTGCCTAGAGGAGCTTCTGGTGCTGTTGATTTTATGAATCTATACACAAGCTCAAAATTAAGTCTCTGATGAAGGAAATGCTCTGAAAGGGACTTGAAAACGTTTGCATGAGCACAGCATGGCAGTGAATAGCTCAGCCTGAGAAAATAATTCAGAATTTATAATATTTCTCTTGTGAGCCACATTCCTGTTGTAGTGCTGTACAATACACAGGAGTAACCTGTCCTTAGAAAGCAGTGCCTTAGAAAAATAAAGTAGCCTAAACTTTGGTCATCTCTTAAAGCAAGGATTATACCTAGCTCAGTTGTGCCCAGTTGACAGGAACATGGGAGAGGGATGCTTCAAGACAAACTATCCTAAAGGAAAGAGAAAGAGGGAAGGTGGCAAAGCCCAAGCTTTTCCCAAAGGAAAAGGAAATAATTTCTCAGCAGCATCATTACCTCTGCAGTAACATCCATAGCTATCTTATAGGGAGTGGAGTTTGTTTACAGTGTGTGATTTTATTCTCAATTTGTTTTTCAGTTGTATGCCCATTCCTTATTCCTCTTATGGTCAAGATGAATGTAAGCTTCTTCCCTGGTGATGCTGTCGATTTCTTCATGAGATCCCTCTCCAAAATTAAGCAGGATCGTGAAAAGGATCCTCACAAGGTAAATGAGCATGAATTTGCTATCAGTTGTGGCAGAAAATAGACTTAAGTGAAATATAATTAGAGTGATGATCTCAAAGGTGAAGCCAAAGTACAATGACTCAATAAAACCTTGAATCTACTTAAGTACAAACATTTGATTTTAATACTGTCAGAAAAGCCTCACCTGACCAGTCCTGACAGAGAAGCAAGTGGACTTTGTACATCCATGATCTGAATCTAAATCCAGATAATGGCTGGGTAGATTAATTACATTAAGCTTGAGTTTGCAGAACTTGTAACAAGTCAAAGTAAGAAACTCCCCAAAGAACATTAGGTAGAGGATAGGAGAGCGCAAAGTAAGCTGCACAAGAGCAGCAATACCGCCTTTCAGGGTTGCACCTTCCCCTCTCACTTTTCAAAAATAGAAGCTGCTTGCTGGCAAAATTCTCCCTCTTGGAGTTTGGATCCCTTTCCTGGAATTCATTCGAGACACTGGTCTCCTACCCAGTGGCTTCACCAAAGGGATAAATATGTTTCCAAAATAAAATGCAAGTATTGTGTTTTACAACAAGGAAGTCATCTGCATTTTAGGGTTAACTTCAGTTTTATAATTGTGCTTAGACTATGGGATTTGCTTACCTGAGCCCTCCCTAAGGGATCTGTCACCAAAGAAGCTCTCAATTTTTTTTCTCCTCAGGGCAGAGTAGATTTTCTGCAGCTATTGATTGAATCCCAGCACTCAAACAGTCACAAGAGCAATGAAACAAATAATTCGCATAAAGGTAACAACATCCAAATACTCATCATGGGAACTGGGGCTGTGGGAGCAAGGAGAATATGGGGAGGTCTTTCCCAGAGAAAGGCTCAATGGTTCACCACCATCTCCACTGACCAGGTCCAAGTAGAACTCTGCCTCTTGTTGCCAGTACTGGGGCTAAGGGGAGTCCCCCAGGTCCTTTGCCAGGTGGTAGGGCTGCCATGTCAATCTTCTGGCTCCTCTATCAAATGACTTTTTCCAGACAGATAGCAGAGTAGCTATAAGTGTGTTATCAGAAAACAACCCCAACAAACCTGCCTCAACCCCACTGCCTCTACCTGTTCCTTGCTGAGACCAACCACCAACACCAGTTTTGCTCATCTCCCTACATCCTCTCTCCTCACAGCCCTGACTGATATAGAGGTCCTGTCTCAAGCATTCATCTTTATTTTTGCTGGCTATGAGCCCACCAGCAACACTCTTTGTTACCTGGCATATGAACTGGCCACAAATCCTGATGTGCAACAAAAACTGCTGGAGGAAATAGATACTGTTTTACCCAACAAGGTAAGGAGATGCCGAGTGACGGTGAAGACCCTCCAACCTTGCTATCCTCCTTGTTCAGTCAAGACAATGAGAAATCTTTAGCTCCTAAATACCCTCCTCCTGGGATCTTCCAACAGCTTTAAGAGACACACACTGAGATAACTCAGCCCTGTAGCTATTTTGTTTTGGCAACTGAAACCTTCCAGGCTACTTCACTACACAAACCCATTTGCCATTCTCTGCACCCAAACACAAGTGGATATGGATTTCCAAGTATTTCCTCCACTCAGGGATGGAAAATGAAATCAATTATGCAATTTCCACATTGCATTCTGCTCTTCAGTTAGTCTGAGACACAGCTGGGGCAGGAGGGATTGGGGACACTCTGGTCTCAGCAGTCATTTTAGGAAGATCCAATCCTCATGCCAACATACCTGGTCACCCTTTTCCTCTCATCCCACAGGCTCCTCTCACCTATGAAGCAGTAATGCAATTGGAATATCTGGACATGGTAGTGAGTGAAACCCTTCGGCTTTTCCCCATTGGAGGACGGATTGAGAGAGCATGCAAGAAAGACGTAGAAATAAATGGAGTGACCATTCCCAAAGGAACGATTGTTATGATCCCACCCTATACCCTGCACCGCAATGCCGAGTACTGGCCAAACCCAGAAGAGTTCAGACCAGAAAGGTACAAAAAAATAATTAAAGGGAATAAATATTATGCTGCTTTTCCCTCATGTAGTAATTAAGTATTAATCTCTGATTAGCTTCCTAATGGTGTTCTTCCTATCTTTTTACAAACAATACCAAGGAGAAATTGCAGGCTCATGGGAATGTCATTTTAAGAAAATGAGCTTTTCACTTAAAGCAGGGTTTCAAACAACTTAATCTTCTTGGGAGACTAATATTGACACCTCACAATGTCTTGCACACAGCTTTTAGGTTCGCTGACAGAGTGGGTGGTTGGTGAGTTTTGGTAACCACTGGCCATCTTTCTGTATAACTTTCATTGCTGAAACCGTTTCCTTCACACAGGCTTTGCTACAAAATATACCAGAGTTGATCCTGCCAGTATTGCCTTCCCTCTTTGTTTTCAAAGAAGTGATAACTTTTCCCTAGTTGGTTATTTTTATAATTGCTATCTACCTCTCATTCCCAGCAAGACTGAAGCCATAGGCTGCTCCTAACAGAGATGGCTCCTGGTTTCGCTCTCACTAAATACAACAGATAGGAAATATCAGTCATTTTGAAAGAGCATGGAGATTTTCACATTGCTTCTAACTTCTGCTACTCTGAATGGACAGAATTAAACTCAAACACTGAAGTGGAATCCCACCTCTTCCTGGACAAGGGATTTGACACATCATTCAATTGCTGGAGTACACAGAGATACCTTAGTGAAAAGGCAAACAAGTCTCTGTAGGGCACCAGCAGAGATCTCTGGATAAATAGTACAGATATGCAGCTCTTTGGATTTCTACTCCTTTAATTTCTTTTCCCCAACCATGTCATTATCCAGGTTCAGAAAAGAAAACAAAGAGTCCATAGACCCGTATACATATTTGCCCTTTGGAGCTGGTCCCAGGAACTGCCTTGGGATGCGCTTTGCTCTCCTGACTCTGAAAGTTGCCATCGCTGTCCTATTGCAACATTTCACCTTCCAGACCTGTAAGGAAACTCAGGTGAGGAACACATTATGTTTTGAAACTCACACGTGAAGGGCCAGTTTTCTCACCATGGGTGCTAACACCAGCTGCCTTGCCCTTTCAGGGAAGGTGCACTTTCAGGCACTACAGATCAAGTTATGTCCAAACCATGGCCAAGTGTCTTTCCTTTAATCTTTACTTATTTAATCTGTCTATTTCCACATGTGTTTTTTCCTTTTACTGTTGCAGATCCCTCTCAAGCTGAGTTCACAGGGACTCTTAAGGCCAGAGAAGCCGATTATTCTGAAGTTAGTCCCTCGGACCAACACTGGACCTGCAGAGGCATAAAACCCAGCTGTGTCTGTGACAATTCTCTGCTGTCTAATGAGTACTGTGCTAATAAAAGGATCACACATCACAGGAAATATCTCCTACACCTACAGATGCAGAAGAGCAGCTCTAGTTAATTCTGGAAGCAATTACTACATATTTACTAATAAACATAGCTGTCAGAAATGTAATGTGGATCACTGGGCAGTGACAATATACAGTCCCCTTAATTCTGATTGCAGAAAACAAGAAATAAATCCAAATAAGAAGTTGATCATCCACTTCTAAGGGGACTTCTCCATCTGGAGAGAAGGAATTACTGTCACATCCAAGAGAAACAAGATGTGATGGAAATTCAAATTGCCAGACCTTGCTGGGCAGGGATGGGTGACGTTCTTCTTGGTGTATTGGTGCTTGAAATTTCATGTTTTATAATTGAGCCGACTGGTGTGAGACTATATCCTAGTTACCAAACCTCTCTTGTGTCATGTGTTAATTAAACTAAAGTGTGTACAAATACTGTCATTAAAAATGTTTGAGAGCCGCTCTGTGTTGTGTATAGCAGCTGATCACTTCCTATTTAAAAACTGTATTCAGCCTCAACCCTTGAAATTATCCATGTACATCGCTTTCCACTTAATTTAATGAATCTGATCCTTCATTTAATGTGATCAAACCCTCCCATTTGTAGAGTATTTTACAAACACTCTAACTCCCACCTCTTAGTTTGATTAAGAGGTTGCCTTCAGTTCAGTGCTGGCCAACCCTCTTCCATGCTGGAGCAGCAACAGAGGATGCATTTCAGAGCAGCAGAGCAGCTTGCAGGAGGTGGTGACCACTGTGCAGAAAGGCCACTGCTCCTGGAGAAATTGTCTGGATGCAGCTTGTAGCTGAGCCTTGCCTCCTCCCAGAGCCAAGGATGGGGTGTGCACATGGCCTGTGGTGGGATGTTAGCCTGCTGCGAGCTGCTTTGCTCTTGCACTGCTCCAGAGCTTGTGCCCTCTGGGCTGGTCCTGCCATCAGCATGATGCTTTGACCAAAGGACTTATGCTATCCTTGACCATGTAAACAAAAGGCAAGCAGGAAGTTCTGGACCTGAATGTCACATGCTCCAGTAAATCCAGTTGGTCCTGGCACCTACAAACCAAGAAGGATGCTAGTAAAATGGAAAAGGTTGGTAGAAGAGCTGCAAACCAGATTAAGTTACCCCTTAACTTTCTCCTGGCATCCTTCACTCCAAGGTAATATGTTCTCTATCATGGTCTATATTTTTCTCCCTTGGCCACATGCTTTCCTCTTCAGTTGAGCAGATAAAACTGCAACATGACCTAAATGCTACAATCTAACATAGCACAAAATTATTCAAGAATTCATGTCCATTCTTTGACAATAACAATTAAAGAATTTGGGAGTGGTTGGCCAATGGTGTGGTAGATTCCTGATCACTGGAAACCCCCAAATCAAACCTGTCTGTTTTTCAGGAAGATACAGCAACATTTACCAGGCTTTAATTCAAGAGTTAGCAGCTTGTGCTGTCCCAAAAGGCAGATAAAACAATTATAGTGCTCCCTTCTGATTCATTGTCTGTGAAAAATTGTTTGGGTTTTGCTATGTATGCAGAAAGGCATAGTTAGAAGTGATGTCAATAAGGCCCTTCCTCAGCTTAAACTGTTGCTCATCTCTTAACAGGAGAGAAAACCTTCAGTGGAAGAGTTGGGCCTGTCTTACTGTTGCAGACAGCTCTGATGGGAAGAGTGTGATGAGCAAGAACTAGTTTAAAAATGCATTTTCTCTGTAGAAATATAGTGCTGGACAAAACTAACTCCCAGTTCAAGGAAGGGGAAAGAAAGGCAAAACTATTGTGTGAGCAGCAAGTGACTTACAGGTCAAACAGCTGCTTTGACATAAAGAAAAGTCATTTTGGTATCTCATGAACAAAATCCAGTGCCTTCACATGGTGCTCAGAACCAGAAAGGGTTAATCTTGCCGTACCCCAGGACAGGCAGTCCCTGCCCAGCACGTGGCATCTCCGGGAATGAAGTCATTAGTGCAACTGTACAGATCACTCTTCTGAATGTGAAAAATGTGACTAATTCTCTGGCTTCAGCCAATTATGACCTGCCAGGACTATCATAACAGCCCATAAATAATGTGTAACAAAATCATGGTAACGAGTCTTTTAGAAGAAAATTAGATCCTCTGTGTCTTAACTCTGTAAGATCACTTTGCTTATAAGGACTGCCTCCGTCATTCCTAGCACTTTCCACCTCTTCACTGGCCATCCCTCAGGAATGGATGAGATTGGCCAGGAGTTTGCTAGTCCTGGTTGTTGTGCATTCATCAGATTTGTTTTCACTGGTTTGGCTATTTCCTCTTTAAACCAGACATATTACTGTTTAACTCAACTTTCAAATGTTTGCACCGATAAAACATATTTACTTTATCTAGACCTTGCTGAACCCTTTAACTGTTTCAACACATCCTTGGCAGGCCTGGGACAACTTATTGCCCCAAGATAGCCTAGTCTTTGTAAGATTCCCTAAATCCTCCCAAAACCTAAATAAGAGAGTCTTTGTAAGACAAGGAGCTTCCAAACACAGTACAAGGTAGAAATTAATTTTGGGGACACTTCTGTTTCTCTTCATTCCCTAAATCCTCCCAAAACCTAAATAAGATTATTGCCCCAAGATAGCCTAGTCTTTGTAAGATTCCCTAAATCCTCCCAAAACCTAAATAAGAGGGAAAAATAAAAGAAAATGAAGAAAAATCTATGTTACATCAACATTTTAAAAAGTATGCTTTCCTCAAAGACTTTACAACTGTGTCTCATCAGAGAAGTTATGGTCAAATCATAGTGCAAGTGTAATGGACTCACACCTTGGTAAGACACCAGCATCACTCAGGAAATCTTCTATAAGTATGCAGAAGTATATTCCCCTTAGCACAGAAAGTCTTGCTGGGAACTTTCCAAAGGAGATATATACCCCACGATATGAGAACAGTTATTGTATCGGTCCTGATGAAAGACAAAGATGGTTATAAGTGGAGAGATTTGTTTTCTGTTTCTCAGTTAAAGAGCAGAGTAACTATCAATGTTACAGTAACTTGCCTAAATGATGTAATACTTCCAGTTGATTGCAATGATCACATGGATTTTATGAAAAACATGTTTCCTGCTTACAGTAGAGGAATATTTCATGTGCTTTACCAAGTCAGTTATTAGGTGTTTCAATACCAGGCTGAGCCCTGACAGATAGAAGAATGGCCTGACTATTACCAAACTAAGTGTCCCTAAAGTATTGAAGTCTTTTGCAATTCTGCCTTGCTTTTAAAGTGAAAAATGAAACGTTTTCAGGCATATTCCACCTGAAAGGAAGAATAGGCAGCGTTGTTCCTTTTACCTTACCCTCCACTGAGGCACAGTTTCTCTACTTGTATGCTGGCAGCAGAAGCCTACAAGTCAGAAGGTGCACAAATGAAAAAGCCAGCATGCAGAATTTGTTTAGTTCTCACAGTCCCTCCTTCCTCTCTCCATCTCCCTGTTAGATAACAAGCCAGCATGGGGAATTACCAGAATATGACAGATACTTGGAAATGTGGAAAACCTGTAGCTGAATTTATGCCCTGACATCACCTTTGTCTGCTGTAATGGAGAGAATTACGCATATTGAGTCGCTCACCATACAGACACAGAATTTTGAAAACCCTTACTATTGCACAAATGTTGACAGGGTATTTTATTTACTGCATCATTAAAGGTTAAAGAGACTCATTCTCCAGAGGATTCATTTTTTCAACCCTTAATATCAATTAAAGCTAATTTCATCTCTACCCTAATGATTAACATAAAATATGGAAAAAGCTCTAACTGAGCATTTCTATTCATTACTTTGATTCTCTTGCATTGCTAGGGCACTTTATAGGTACTGATGCAGCTTTATATCACCCATGTCACAGTTAATTTTCCCCTCAGAGCTTTTTTTTTTTGTTACTGAACACTTGAGGATGTTGCAAAGATGCACAAAATACCTTTGATGATATGGATCGAAGTTTTTATTTAACCAGTTCATAGTTGATGACCAGTGATGCTCTCTGTGGGTTTTCCTACATGGCCAAGTACAATGCCTAGATATATATGGATTTTGTTAAGTGCCCTACAGCTTCCATATTATATATATGTGTGTATATATATACACACATATATAATGTATAAGCATACTCTGATATATTTGAGCAGCCATAAGTTTGCAAATGGAGTAGGGAGGACAATGTAACTGTTCAAGGGAAAATGAAAAACCTTGCTTGCCACTTGGGAACTGAAGCCAGTCCAGTACAGCTGGATGCATTCACCCATCTCTGCTTGGCAAAATACTGCTTCCATCAACAGTCCACAGAGTGCCCAGAAAAATAAGTTATAGTCCATGTTCTGGACTGTACTGGGGCTTTGTGTAGCCCAGCTGAGAAGGCAGAGGTGCCACGCTGCATCTCCTCCATCCTGGGGCTGTCCAGATGGTTTTGCTCTGGAATCATAGGTAATAGGACTGGAAAACACTTTTGGAAAGCAGATCACACAGACCAACCCCCAACATGGTGAGCTGGGTCTTGCACTAACTTGTCCCAAGCTCATCTAACCTTTTCAGAACTTGTCTACTTGTATTCCAATATTAGGGTATTTATTGTTAACAAACACTAATCTGGGATCGATCTGTATCCAAAGGTCACAGTAAAAGCCAGAGGGAAGATGAGGAGCAATACAGATGCTCCTAAGAAGGTCAGCTGCTGCCACTCAGGCTGTTCTCTGGTGGTAACCACACATCAATCAGCCCACTGGTAGCCTTAGCAGCATCCATGGAAGCTAGCAGATGCCTGATGTTCCCAGTAATTATAACAGACTCCAGTAGAAATCAGCAGGATGTACAAGTGAGGGACATGCATTTGCAGATTCCCCTTGCTGCAAAATTAAATATTTCCCATGCTGGCTGTTGTAGTCTCATGTCCTGTCACATACAGCTCTGTCC